CTTACACACAGTAAACAGAGGGGGTTCAGAAAAATGTACCTCCAGCGAAGAACAATTTCCAAAACAGTAATCTCAACCCCTGAACAGATCGATTCCACTATTAGTACAGGTCAACAGTATAACCAAGAAATCAATACATAATTAAAGAATTTGTTATATCACGGTATCTACACAATTGCAAGAAAAACATTTTTTCAAAACTTTTGTGATGAATTGGTTTCTTGAATCGAAACCTTAAACCCCTCAGATTCTAGGGTTCTTACAGGGACCCCTAGACAAATGTAGAGTTAGAGGAGATTCTCGAAACCCTAATTTTAAAGAAAATTTGATTCCAAAATCTTTAAAATATCAGCTATATATACTGTGATATTTGACAGCAAAGATAAATGACTCGTGTACACTGCAAATGGCAAACTCGGTGTGACTCAGTGTGACTCAACCCAACTCGCTAAACTCAGTGTGAGTTGAACCGATTTACAGGAACTAAGTGGCCAAACAACAGATAAAAAAAGTGAGTCAAAGGCGAGTTAAGCAATTCTTGTAAGTAAAGTATCCAGATCCACAAAAACGCCCAAAAAATAGGCAAGAACGAGTTGCAGTACAAAAATCACAAAACCAGTAGAAATATTCACAATCCTTCCACTACACATATAAACTCACACAAGAGTTCATTATTCTATTCTCAAATCTCACAAATTCATACAAGAAAATGGAGACCAAATTTACAGAGAACAATGAAAAAAAGCTGCTCTATGAGAGAAAAATGAAAAGACGAAGGTAACGACACGTGAATTGAGAGAAAATATCTCTTAAAACCTTAAGTCAAAAGTCTATCTAATAATTGCAGAGAAACCCTTGAAGTTATATATAGTTCACAATTCCAGATTCTTCTAATTTGTTGGACCAGTTAGTGGTGCCAAAAGTTTGGGCCAGAGTAGTAGCATATAATTGGGCCTCTTCAAAATCAGCAAACATTTTCCAACAAGAAGTACTTTGCACCATCACTAATTATAGCCACATTTGTACCGAACCTAGTGAAAATGTTCTTTTTTAGAAACTGATAACAACTTGAGCATCATTGTTAGGCAAATCAACTGCCTCAATCCACTTCGAAACATAGTTCACCACTACGAGTAAATGGACCCATGTAGTCAATGCCCCGAACATTAAAAAGTTGGACCTCTAGGATATTGTTTTAAGGACATTTCATTCCTTCTCGAGATGTTTCCAATGTGGGAACATCTGTCATACTCCTTTCACAAGGTTATAAGGATCCTTGAACATAGTTGGCCAATAGAAGCCGAATTGCTACACCTTTGTAGTTGTTTTATTATTCCCAAAATGATCACCATAAGCTGAAAAAGATACAACTCGAGTATCAGTCTCATATTCCCTTTTAGTACATATCTCTTGATAATTCGGTATGGCCCTTGCCTATTCAAGATAGTTCCTTCTTGTAGTAGTGGTTAACATCATAGTAGAACTTCTTCCTATAATGATTTGAGAAATCCATAGGTGTGATATTGCTAGCCACATAATTGATATAATTTGTAAATAATGGTGCTTTGGCCAATTGCATCAATTTATCATCGGAGATGACCTCGTTGTGTTATATTTTTATCACAAATCTCCAAATCAAACTCTTATAGCAAGAGCATCCATTGAATTAGTCTGAGTATGGCATCCTTCTTCACGAGCACGTACTTGAAGGTTGGATGGTGAGTTTAGACTATCATCTTTGATCCACTGAGACACAATCAAAATTGATCAAATGTAAAGACTACTGTTAAGAATTTATTCTTCGTAGTGATATAATGTGATTTAAGCATAGTTTTGCTGGTATAATAAATCACATGAAGAATCTTGTTTTGGCACTGTATCAATTCTGCTCCCGGCACTTGGGTACTCACATCATGCATAATCTCAAATGGTAGCCTCAATCTGGTGCAACTATGATAAGTCTCGTCATGAGATTTCGAAGTGCAAAAAGTTGTAAAATGCTCATCAGAAAAGTGAAAAGACACATTTTTGTTCTTGAAAAATGCATCACACCTTTTTGATCATTAAGAAATCCTTAATGAATCTCATATGCGATCTAACTTGTTCCAAAAACCATATGATACTCTTCAATGAAGTTAATAGTTGCCATTTTTCAATTATCTATATATTACCATGTCGATTTCAATGCCTCGTGTGGAGATTCCAGGAACCAAAACAATTCATTCTTGTAATATGAATTGGCACTTTTTGAATTGAGTACCAAATTAGTTTCTTCATATCATTTCAACCCCAAAGCAAGTTTCTAGGCAATCATCAACAGTGGAACTGAAAATTCAAAAATCATCCTTGAACACCTTAGTAAAATTTCCAAAGAAGATAGACCTCATTGAACAATTAATAGTAGTCCGTGTATCACATATACCAAACGACATCCTCCAAAATGCAAAAGCCCCGTAGGGACAAGGTTATCTTTTTTTATCTTCCAATACTATAGGAATCTAAATATTGTAGCCTGAATATGCACAATAAATAGTAATAGGACTGTCCAGGAAGACTCTCCAACACCTAACCAATGCAAGCAAATTGAAAGTGGTATTTCCTAGTACCATTTTTTAACTTGCGCAATAACTGTAACATGAAAATCCCGCAAGCAAACGGGTTCGTTGTACAAGTAATAATCGTGATGAGTGAGTTATCGTTCCACA